GCGGTACGCGGGCCTCTCACTGTCGCGGCCTCCCCCGCCACAGAGCACAGGCTCCAGACGCGCAGGCTCAGCGGCCATGGCTCACGGGCCCAGCCGCTCTGTGGCATGTGGGCTCTTCCCAGACCGGGGCGCGAACCCACGTCCCCTGCATTCGCAGGCGGACTCTCAACCACTGCGCCACCAGGGAAGCCCGAGACATATGTTCTTAATATATGTTTTCATTTCTCTTGGGGGTATATACCTAGGAGTGGAATTGCTGGGTCAAATGGTAGTTCTTTTTATGTTGCTGGATTCAGTTTGCTAGAATTTTGTTGAGAATTTTTGCATCTATTTTCATAAGCTATATTGGTCTGTAGTTTTCTTTTCTTGTGATGTTAATTTTGGTGTCAGTGTAGTACTAACCTTATGCGGTAAGTTGAGAAGCATTCCCTCTTCTATCTTTGGAAGAGTTTGTGAGGAATTAACATTACTTCTTCTTTAAGGGGTAGAATTCACAGCTGAAGCCATTTGGACCTGGGCTCCTCTTTGTGGGTAGTTCTTTGATTACTAATTCAATCTCTTTATTTAATATAGGTCTTTTTAGATTTTCTGTTTCTTCCCAAGTCAGTTTTGGTAGTTTGCGTATTGCCAGGAATTGTTCATTTCATCTCAGTTATTGGCACACAGTCTTTCATAGTATTTGCGTTTTATTCTATGTAGCTTATTCTAACCAATTTCCTACATTTAAGTTGTTTGCATTTTTTGCTGTTACGAAAAATGCTGCAATGGCCATTATATTGTATCTGTCTTTGTGTTCAAGTGTCAGTACACATTCTTCGAAGAGGAATTGTTGGGTCAGAGGTCTGTGTATTTAAAATGCTGATTGTTTCTACCTCCTTGTCCTCTTTTTGCTCATCTTTCTAGCCTTACTGATCTGAATAAGTTCTTTATGTCTATTATTCTTGGTATCCTGGAGATTGGAGTTGGTAAGAATACACAGAACAAGTGGGAAGGATAGGTTTGAGAGCTGGGTGTTTGATGGCTGCTTCTGGTCAAGGGTGCTTGATGTGGGTGACCCAAGCTTGTCCTCAACCCTGTACATTCACAAGTGGGGTTTCCAGACCCTGGAACCTGAACTGCTGGGGGGGTCAGAGACTCTTTGCCTCTGGTGGGCCACCTTTAGCCTGGAAGAGGTCACTTGGAGTCTGCAGCAGGGCCAGGTCTCTGCAGGTGACTCCACAAGGGTCCTTTCCATGGTGGTTCTCTTCTGAGAATGCTGAGGGTGACGGGGCTGCAGGCAGTGCTGGCCCATTGGTGCCTGCAGAGGAAAGCATCGTGGATGCCCTGCCTCTGCATGAAGAAGTGACAAGGACATGCTTCCTTTTCACTGCTTTCTTTTGTTTCCTATTCATCTGGGGGCTGTCTCTTCTGGGCGCTCATTAACTCGTGGCTTGCCAGTGCCCCGATGTGGGCAGTGATCTTATGACAAAAAAGTGTAGCTGTTTTTACAGAACGGGAAGTGGGGACACTTCTGGGGCAACCTCTGCATGTGTTTATTAGGGTAGAGCTTTCAGTCCCTCACCCTTTCATTCCACTTTTTCTCCTTTTGGCCTTACCTGGAGTGTACAAGGGTGGCACCAAAGTAGGTTAAAAGTTTGGACTTACGTAGTTTACGATTTTAAAAATAACCCATCCAGGCCACTGGAGGCTGCAGTTCAACGGTTTTTAGGTTTTCCTCACCAGTTCTTGGGTCCCAAAAGGTGCCTTGGGGACAGGGGACAGGGACAGGCAGAGGTGGCACATCAGGGGCTCTGCCTTGGCCAGAGCAGCTGTGCTTTTACTGGTTTTGTATGTTGGAGTTCTAAGTGAGACTTCTGTGAGAAGACAGAAGAGCTTATTGTTGCCACAAAAGTTGGAACACTACTTGTGTGGGACATCTTGGCCTCACTGTTGGGTTGAAAACATCCCAAACACGAATCCTGCTGGAGGCTGAATCCCAGGGCTGACAGGCATTTTGGAGACCTTGGCTTTTCCCAGGGACCCCTCCCTCTTGACAGAGACTGAGTAACTGTTCTCCCCAGGGCCATTTGCCAGCCCGGGCATGCTTTTCTTCCCCCTCTTGTTGTATGGGGTATTCTGGCCCTCCAGCCCTGCAAAGGCAAGATCAAATTATCTTCTCTCTTGATCCAAATGAATTTTGTCCCTGGGGAAGCCCTGGGTTGAGCCTCCAGACAGTCAACGGAGAGGCTTTCTCAGCAGACCTCCTGGCTGACGCCCCATCTTTCTCTCCCCACCCTCTTTGTGTCTTTCAGTCAGCGGAGTTCTTTGAGATGCTGGAGAAAATGCAGGTGAGCATCCTCATTGTTGGGGAGCCAGGCAGACACGACACCAGCAGAACCCACAGGCAAAACTCGGATCCTTGGAGGGAGGGCAGAGAAGAGAGAACTCACAGTCCTGATGGCCTGGACCACCTGAGGCCATTTCCATGTCGAATGGCACAGAGGATTCTGGGACGGCTCCCGCCTGAAGGATGGAGAAAAGACAAACAGAACCTGCCAGCAGGGCAGACGGATGTGGGGAGGGTTTGAGGGGGTCCGTTGTTCCTGGAATGGGCTGGAAAGAAAGCCCCTTCTTAGGGTACTCATCTCACGTCTGCGAGGCAGAGCAGTGGAGTGGGAGACAGACCTGAGTTCAAATCCTGCATCTAATACTCGCTAGCACTAGTTCCTTCCCTTTTCTAAGCTTCTCGCTCCTGTTTTCTGTCTACTCACAGCACTGTTCTCACCTCACTCTGACACCAGACGTGTGGCAGTTTTCCCACACTAAACAGTTCTGCGAAACCAGCTGGGTGCCCTACAGTTTCACTCAGTTCTGAGACTGTCTACCTGGAGATAGGGTCAGATCCCACAGGTGAAGGGCTCAGTCTCACAAGACCACCCTCCTCCCCTGACTTCAACACCAATCCCAAGTCCATGTTGGCACCTGTGCTTCTGACTCACTGGCTACAAATCGGAGGTTCCCACGACCCCCTCCTCGGGTTCGATTAATTTGCTAGAGTGGCTCACAGAACTCAGGAAAAGAGTTTGCTACTAGATTATCAGTTTATTATAAAAAGCTGTAACTCAGGAACAGCCAGATGGAAGAATGGCCTAGGGCAAGGTATGTGGGAAGGGGTGCAAGCTTCTATGCCTTCTTTGGGCACAGCACGTGTTCACCAACCAGGAAGTTATCAAAACCCTGTCCTTTTGGGTTTTTGTGGAGGCTTCTTTACATGGGCGTGATTGATTAAATCATTGGCTATTGGTGATTGGTTGAATCTCCAGCCCCTCTCCCCTCTCTGGAGGTTGGGGGTGGGGCTGAAAGTTCCAACCCTCTAATCGGGGTTGGTTCCCCTGGCAACAAGCCTCCATCCTTAGGGGCTTCCCAAAAGTTACCTCATTAACATAAACTTATAACAAGACACTCCTTTCACCTTTATGGCTCTGGAGCTGTTGTAGGAATCAAGGACAAAAGTCCAGATGCTATAACAAAAGATGCTCCCATTGCTCTTATCACCTAGGAAATTCCAAGGGTTTTAGGAGCTCTGTGCCTCAAACTGCATGAAGACCAAATATATATTTCTTATTATAAATCACAATATCACAGCTTCTATAAATAAGAATGCCCGCTTACATGTAAAATACCCACTTACATGGTTGTTGGGATGAAATGAGAAATATGTAAATACTTTGTAGGCATTGCACAAAAATCAGTGTTCAGTGTTGAGGGTCCTTTATAATCACCCCTCACCAAGGGGTCAGGGCTCACAAATGAGAACCACTGCCCTAGGGAATATGGGGGGAGGTCCAGAAGGCTTAATAAATGTAGGTGGGAAGAAGATGCTGATAATAGCCCGCATATTTCAAGCACTTCTCTGGGCTCAGAGATTGACAGGCGTTATCTCGTGTCTTCCTGACAAGGCCCACAGGAAGTAGGCATATTATTATTATGCCCATTTCACAGGTGAGAAAACTGAGGCACAGAGATATTAAATAAAACACTTAAGGGCTCAGGGCTAGTACGTAGCTTCAAGGCTTAGCCACTATATTATTGTGCTCTTTATACTAAGTAGCTGCTGCAGGCTCCAGGAAGGAGGATCTGGTAGTGATGGAAGCTCTAGGAGGAGAGGCAGAGAGCGTGCCCACAACGGGCCTGAGATGCAGGTGGAGATGCTGAGAAGGCAGCTGCTACCAGCAAGCGTGGGAAAGCCAGGTCTCCCTAAGGGGGGAGAGGGAGGGAAAACTATTATTAGTGGTTGTGTCATTATCGCGAGCAAGTTATTAAAATCCTGCTCTGTGCCCAGCAGTGTGTGGACTACAAACTGATTTATGTGCATTTAGGGAATGTACAGTCAAGTTGCGGAAACAGGGAGGGCGCCGGCCTTGACAGTGAGTGATGGGAGGCAGTGTATAATAGGTGCTCAGTAAAGCTGGGATCTTCACCTCGAGCCACGGAATCCCCACACTCTGGCAAGCTGGCGGGGAGTTTGCGGCTCACCCTGCCTTCTGTCTGGTTGCTCCCACGATCCACTCACCCCTCACCGCTAGCCGGGGCCCCCGGCCTCCCCAACAAAGGGCTTCTCTGAGCACAGACTCCAGCCCCACTTAACCGGCCTCACTGTCCTCGTGTTTCGAGGCTGCTGGGTTGTCCTCTCAACTAGATTGGGAGCCTGGCAAGGACAGGGGTTTTTTTTTTTTTTTTTTTCCGTGCTATGCAGCTTGTGGGATCTTAGTTCCCCGACCAGGGATTGAACCCGCACCCTCTGCAGTGAAAGCAGTGGAGTCTTAACCACTGGACCACCAGGGAAGTCCCAGGGGTCTGGTTGCTTCCTGTGTGTCTCCACGGCAGGTGGCTGACACCCTTGGGCGGTTGGTCAATTTCATCTCAGTTGAGATTGCTGGTGGCTGAAACCGGACTTCCCAGTTTTTGGGCCTCTACCACGTGCCCACTGGGTCCCAGCCTCCTAGGGGCCACAGTTTCCAACTCCTCTGCCTGTATGAAACTCACATGGGAAGCGGCTTCAATGAAGTGTGGCTGGAGTCTGTCCTTGAGTGTGGGTGCCCTCTCTCATGCTGCGGGCGTGAACACTGAGCCTCAGAGCAGTGAAGCATCCAGGGCACTCTGAGAGTTGTGAAGAGTTGAAACTAAGATCCAGGACTACTGACCTCCCAGACCGAGAGTCTAGGGCTTTGAAGAAGGGCACAATCCCTGTGAAGCAACAGGGGCTGAGTGCACAAGCTTTGGATCCCTTTGGTCCTATGTTCACGTTCTAGCTGAGTATCCTTGGTCAAGTCACTCTACCTCTCTGAGCCTCAGTGTCTTCACGGCTGGGGATGGAGGAGGGGGGCATAATCATAATACCTGTTGCAAAGGATGACACACAAGAGACGGCCCAGTGCCGCATGGTGGCTCTGTCGTGGGGGAAGGCACAGGAGGAGGTTTGCTCTCCTGCCCAGTGGCTGTTCCCAGGCAGGGATGACTAGTGCAGGACAAACAAAACAAACTCCTGACATCACCCCCATGCCCATCCGCCCAGTTTGCCTCCCTGCTGGCCACTCGGGTGTTTTTTTATCCCTGTGTGTGGAAAGGAGCACCTGTCCAGCGGGAGGGCGCCCTCCCACGCCCTCTTGAACAACACCGCAGGTGACTCAGCCCAGCCAAGTCTGGAGAAGCCCAAGTCTAAATCCACCCAGTTAGCAGGAGTCTTGGGCTCTGAGAGCTGTGGGATAGGACCATGCACTTGTAGACACACTTGTAGACACACAGTCCAGCTTCAAATCCAGGTGCTGTCACTTGCAAGCTGTGTGACGTTAGGCCAGCAACCTACTCCCTGGGCCTCAGTTTCCTCATTGGTAAATAGGTGCTGAGGGCTTCAAAGGAGACAACAGAGGGAGCGCAATGGAAGGCCAAGATCCTGATGTGTATTATTATCATCAGGCAGCGGCCGCTTCTGGACACTCTTCTCTCTAGAGGGGACCTGTTTCTCCTAGTGTGTCGCAGTGTGTCCCAGCGTCTCACACCCTCGTTGGATTTATTCAAACAATCTTGGGAACACCATGTGCCCGCCTCCCTCAAAACCTAGTTAATTCAGAACGTGACTATAGGACCAGGCTCTGCTCCCCGGAAGAGCATTTTCCAGATAACTGCAGATGATCCCCTTTAATCCAGGCCCAGTCATGGTACCTGTCCCTTGCAGTGACACATCTATGAGGCAGGAGGGTGGGTGTTAGAATCCTCATTTTGCAGATGAAGCCATGGAGGCTGCAAGAGGCTCAACTTTGTCAAGGGTCATGGATAGTATGACAGCGGCAGAATGAGGACCAGGTGGCCTGCCTGTCACCCTTGGACCTTCCCACCAGGGAGGGGTGGAGCTGGTGTGGCATGAGGTCCAACATGTGGGCATCGATGACACCAGAAGATGCAGGTTCCCATCCTCACCCCTCACCTACTGGCTTTGAGAGAGGCTGGTGGAGATATTTAAGCACCAAGATGAAAATGCTGCCTACCCGTAGTTTTACTATATAGTGATCAGTCTTCCAAGGGCTTAACACACTCTCAACATTTAATCTTCACCACAAGAGTAGGTGACGTTTTCGTTCCCATTTTACAGATGGGAACACCGAGCTACAGAGAGGTTTTGTGACTTGCCCATGGTCATCAGGTCATAAGCGGCAGTGTTGGGATTTGAATCCTGGTGATCTGGCTTGAGTCCACGCTCTTAACCCCCTACGCTGCCGCCTTGCCTGAGGCTGCTGTGAGGCCTGAGTGTGTAAGGGCCCAGCACATGCCAGCTGTTGCTGCTATTGGTACTAACCCCCAGCTAAGGCAGCTGCTCCTGATAGACTCCTCTGTTTGGCCTGTCTTCTGTGACCTTTGCTTTTCCATGGATCCTCTTTTCCTTGTTTCTGCAGGGGATCAAGCTTGAAGAGCAGAAGCCGGGACCCCAGAAGAACAAGGTGGGCTGGGCGGGTGCCAGGCAGGGGGCAGAGCTGGCATGCTGGGGTCTGCTGTCTTACACTGTCTAACTCTTATTTTCACCAAGAGCCACTTAAGTGGCCGCACGGTGTTGACCGGTGCACAGTGGGCAGCAAGGGGGGCCCTGGCTTGACGCCTTTGGGGCAGCTTCAGGGTGCGCTGGGGTGGAGGCCTTGGTGAGACAAGGCTTGTGGCTCAGCTTGGCTTCTCTGCACCTGCTCCTGCAAACGGACTGCATGCAGCACGTAGGGGTGTCAGGCTGTATGCTCCAGGCTCCGGAGGCATCAGCTCTCAGCTTCGGCTTCCATTGCCAAGGCCCAGGCATGCAGCTTATCACTTAGAGGTTAACCCCCTTTCCTGGAGGGGGCTAGGTGGGACCAGAGGTCATCTTCCTGTTACAGCATCCTAGGGTGAGAAGCTGGGTCACAGGAGTGTGGGACCCGGCGCTCTGCGTACTGCATCTTCAGCTGGCAGGGTTTGCACTCAGGTTCTGTCAGTTTGGGGAAGAACTCAAGCCACATCCCAGAGCTGCCTCTAGGCTCTTCTGTCCGGTGTTCTTCCCACTGATGCTCCCAAAGCCCTGGTGCAGCCTGCCAGGCCCCCCAGCCTATTCCTTACCCCACCTGGAGTAAGGAGTGGAGAGGGGAATGGAAACAGTGCTCAAACTTCCTGGGCATTGCCGGGACTAATGGTGACATTGTCTGGTTTGTCTTGCAGGACGACTACATTCCGTACCCCAGCATCGACGAGGTAGGAACCCCCCTGGCCGCACGGCAGCTCTGGGTCCTGTCTTTGCCGGGGGCGGGGGCGGGGGAGCTGACGGTGATGATGTTGATGGTCCCTGCCCCACCCCACGTGGGAGAGAACCCTGGCCCTGGTACTTGAGGGCTTGAGGCCTTTTGCCACCTTTCCCTTTGTGACCTCAGCTTTGCCATGTTTAAATTGGGGGTACCCATCCAAGCTTTGCACCTCTGAAACTACAGGGTTGGTGAAGCTGGAGACGTTGTAGGGCTTAGGGGAGGGGTTCATGTTGCTGCGTTTGGCCTCAAAGACGGGATGCCCTCCTTGGAGCAGTTCAGAAGTTGGAGGGCACCCCTCCTGGCACCTCTCCCCACCTCCTGCAGACCCAGGGCAGGCTGCAGTGCAAGACCCTCCCTCTGCCTCTAGGTGGTGGAGAAAGGAGGCCCATACCCCCTGATCGTCCTGCCCCAGTTTGGGGGCTATTGGATTGAGGACCCTGAGAACGTGAGCACGCCGACCTCCCTGGGCAGCAGCATCTGTGAGGAGGAGGAAGAGGACAACCTCAGCCCCAGCACATTTGGCTACAAGCTCGAGTGCAAGGGTGAAGCCAGGGCCTACCGCAGGCACTTCCTGGGGAAGGTGAGGCCCAGGGGGCCCGGAGGCAAAAATAGCTGCTGGAGGGGGAGGGCCCCAGGAACCCAGCATTCCTCTCCAGTTGCCCCTTTATCTCTGTCTCTCCTCTTCGAAGTCGCCCTCCCTGTCCTTGCTGCCTGCCTGTGTCTTCGTTGGAGAGGTCTGACTGGCTGTGCTCCTGGGCAGGGATGGGGCGGACAGAGGGTGTGCAGAAGTTAGGAAGGCTCTTGGTGTGATGAGTCTGGGTGGGGATCACCCCCAACAAATATCTTAGGAGGTGATGGAATGGGTAGTGTTTGGGGGTGGAGGAGGGTGGAAGGGACAAATACTTTCTCACACCTTGGAAGTCTGTTTCTGTCAAAATGGTACAAGTCTCTCGTGTCCTCATTCAAGCAGGTCCCCCTGAGTACTTGTACTGGATGATGTGCTGTGAGCCTCTGATGGCTTAAAAGTGACAAAGTTACATTTCTTTAAATATATTCTGCCCATTAGACTTGGCAGGTTCTGGAAGTCCCGAAGGCAGATTCCGGAAATCTCCGGCCCAAGGCAGCTTTGCAGTCTTAGGAGCTGCATCAGAACCCCCTGGGGAACGTGTTAAAGTGCAGATTCGAGGGCCGCATCCTGATATGGCCTGTCTGGTATGGGCTCCCTGGGCCAGGAGGAGACCCACTGTCCAGAGGACCTCCTGGCTCCCCTTGGGTGGAGGTGCCAGTGAACCTCCTGGCTTTATTCCCACAAATAGTCTGAATTGGCAAGCGTTGCCCCTGGAAGCAAGGATGTGGACTCGATATCTTGTGGTGAAGAACTTGGGCTTTGGTCAAGACAGGTGTGGGTTTGAACCCTGGATCTTTTACTATTAGTTGTGTGACCCCGGACAGTTAACAACTCTGAACTTGGTTTACCCATCTGTGAAATGGGGATGATGATGTTTCCTCCTGCATAAAGTTGTAGTCAGGATGAAAGGAGATAAGGGCTATTAGGCCCTCAGCCCAGTGCCTGGCACATCCTGGGACTCAGTTGGGCCTCTTACCGTGACCCCTTCTCCTTCTTCCCCTCCTCCCCCCTCCCCCCATCACCACCAATAGCAGCCACAGCAGTAGCATCCTTCTCTTCCTCATGGCTATGGGGCTTCTGACTCCTGGTGAAGGAGGTGATTTGGGGGAACATGTCCGGAAGGTCCCCTTCTCCCCGCTAACACCTGATTTCTGTCTCTAGGATCATCTAAACTTCTACTGTACTGGCAGCAGTCTGGGGAACTTGCTCTTGTCCATCAAGTGTGAGGAGACGGATGGTATTGAGTACCTTCGGATCATTCTCAGGTGGGGCTTCTGCACTGTTAGAGGCCACGCCTCTAGTGGCCAGGACCCAGAAATACCAGTCTGACCAGTCTGCTCTGGGTGTGCTGGGGAAACAGACCTGGCTGGAACCTTGGGGCTATGTCTGAGTTGCCAGGCAGGGAGACCAGGTGTTTATGCCTGGGGCTGATCGCGGGAGTCAGAGTGGTATCTGGTTCAAGGTCATCTAGACCGCACCCCAACCTGCCTCTCTTGTGGGGACTGGGACTCTGAGGAAGATGGCTTATCCTGCTGAGATGCAACTCCAACCTGTCCCGGGAGAGGGTTGGCCAGAATACTACCTACGGTGTGCAGCCAGTCAGGGAAAATAGATCCCAGAGCATCTGTGTGCACCCGAGACGGAGTCGTGGTCACAACGGGAGCGCTGATTCACAGCTAAGCTGGGGACCTCTCTCTGGAATATGACCTCCTCAAGGGCAGGAACTGGAACTGGTTTCTGTTTGGTGTGACTAACGTGTTTTGTAGAACCTCCTCTGCAATAATGACAGAGGGATGGTCTGTGTTCTCTGCAGGCTTATGGTCTAGTGGAGAGGAACATGGAGGAGTTTAATATGTGGCGCAGGTATTATTTTAGTGATTTACACAGGACGCTGTGGGAGCACAGAGTCTGTCTTATTTATCTCTGTCCCTGGTGGGCTGGTGGAGAAGCCAGGAAGACCAGTGCTGGTGTTTAGCCATGAGCCTGTCAAGCTCCCAGTCCATATTTGTGAATCTAATTGGAAGTCCTTGAAGGTATTTGGAAAAGAGCAATAACATTTTTTCTTTCTGCCCAGATTTTGAGATAAATTTGGGATGGACAGGGACACACAGCCTTGCTATAGGAGAGGTGAGAGGGGGGGCTGGTACAAGGAAGTTGTCAGCACTCATCCAATTTTGGTTTGCTCTTTATTAAGAAAGGAAGCAATTTTCTTTGCTGAGGTTCACCTGGCTAGAAATGATGTTTGCAAGGAAGAGTCCATTAAATCGCTAGAGCCAATTTTCTGAGGGAGTAATACCTGGATCCCCATCTCCTAATAGGATTTCGAGCTAGGTGAACCTCTGTAAAGAAAATTACTTCCGGGCTTCCCTGGTGGCGCAGTGGTTGAGAGTCCGCCTGCCGATGTAGGGGACGCGGGTTCGTGACCCGGTCTGTGAAGATCCCACGTGCCGCGGAGCGGCTGGGCCCGTGAGCCATGGCCGCTGAGCCTGCGCGTCCGGAGCCTGTGCTCCGCAACGGGAGAGGCCACAGCAGTGAGAGGCCTGCGTACAGCAAAAAAAAAAAAAAAGAAAAGAAAAAAGAAAATTACTTCCTTTCTCAGTAAAAATCAGACCCAGGTTGGGTAGAATTTCTGAGTAAGAAGATAATTGAATACAAGGATCTAACCCTCTTTTTCTAGTATAGAGCCTATGTGAAATGCTGCACCTGGACTAAAAATAAGAGAAAGATGCCCAGCACGCAATGTATTTCGATGATTTTTTTTTTTTGTCATCTGTGGGGTAGTTAGGGCTGTAATGTAGGTGATATTGAGAGTTGAACCCCATTGCTTCTTCCTTAGAAAGCAATGTAGTGTGGGAATATGTGAAATTGGAGATTTGGGGACAATTCTGTGCTGTTTAGAAGTAAGGGTGAGCCCTGGAACAGTCAGGGGTCTTTCTACGTGGAACCACTTTTGTTGTTTGGGGTCAAGAGCATTTGAAATCAGTGCCCTGGGGAGCCCAAGCTCAAATGTGGCTCTCCCAAACAGAAATCCAGCGAGTGGGGTGGCAGAGAGAAGCCATTCACTAGCTAGGAAGTTGGATAATCACATCGTGTACCCACAGTAATGGCCAAATTGAAAACCAGACCTAAAAAAATTGGTCCCACAGCCTAGTAACTTTACCAGGCACAAAGAAGAAATTATGCAGAGATGAAATTCCTCTGCTGGCAGTGACTCCTGTCCCAGCTTCCTCCTCATTCCCTGTAGGCTTCTGGATTATTTAATTGATGTCTTATAACAACCAGCTCTCTAGCCTAAAATCTGCGGAGAGTATTCTAACAGCATCTGTGTGTGCCATGAGCGTTGCCAAGGAGAATCTACTAACAGTTTGGAGATAAATAACAAGCCTGAGTAGATGTCTCCATTTTCAAGTTTGGATATAAAAAGAAGAAGTGGGGGGGAAACCCCTCATAGTTTGGTGAAAGAAAAGATTCTGCATCTAAAAAAGTATAACCTAGCATTTAGAAGGTAGGGAAATAACCAAGCTTTGAAAAGGATTTGTTATAGAAAGCCAAGTAAAATTGAGATATCTATTAACTTTGTGTTTTCGGCAGACTTCTAGAAAAAAATAAACTGTTTGTTTTAAAGACAAAAGATTAAATAAGGCAATAGAATGATATGAAGAATGTGCTGGTTAAATTAAGGAAATAATATTAAAAAACTAAAAATGGCCAAGAAGAATTCTAAATGATATTACAAACAGTAAAGAGCAGAATCTACTTTGTGGAAAACCCAGTTAGTAATATTGAGAATAAGCTTAAGAAGCTCTCACATAATTCAAAGGTAAACACAACAACTATAAAATGATAAGCAAAATTGTAATGAATGTGGAGGATAGTGAACAGGAATTAAACATGTGGATAATGGGTGTTCTTAAGCTGATTGAAGACTTAAATCTGAAGATCAAAATAACTCACCAGGGCTTCCCCGGTGGCGCAGTGGTTGAGAGTCCGCCTGCCAATGCAGGGGACACGGGTTCGTGGCCCGGTCCAGGAAGATCCCACATGCCGTGGAGCGGCTGGGCCCATGAGCCATGGCCACTGAGCCTGCGCGTCCGGAGCCGGTGCTCCGCAACGGGAGAGGCCACAACAGTGAGAGGCCCACGTACTGCAAAAAAAAAAAAAAAAAGACTCACCAAATATCAGACAAAATCAATGACAAAGAAAACGTACCCATATAGAAAAAGAGAGAAAATAGAGGAATCATAAATAAATAAATATGATAATGGAAATGTCTGAGTACATAGATGATGTATAATAAATATAAATTAGTTAAATTCCACTATTACACAGAAAAGATTCTCAGTTTGGGTCATCTCTCCAAAGGGGGGAAAAAATCAATCAGTTAATTTTATGAAAGAAAGTAACCTGTATATTTAAAAAGAAAAGTGTTGAGAAAAAGTTATAACAATCAAATCCGAAAAGAAAGCAGAGTGGGCAATATTACTATGGAAAAACAGAATTTAAGGCAAAGCAATCAGTGTGACAAAGAGGGCCATTGTCTATTTGTGAAAGATAAAATCCACAGCAAAGATATCTTATGAACCTTTTTGTTGTTAATAGTATATATTTTAACATAATATATGTGTGTATATATATATATATATATATATATGCACACACATATATATGTAGTGATTAAAATATGGAGAAATTGGCAGAATACAATTGTAGTGGTAGATTTTAACATACTTCTTACCACTTGACATCAACTAGGGTAGGGAATGAGAGGGTATGGATAATCTCATTAATATTATTTATGTCAATTGTATATATGTATCTTTATATGTACCTGTACCTATACTTGGCTATCAAACTTTGATCCTCTCATGGAGATCTCTGCTTCTTTTCAGGTGTCTATGGAATATTTACACAAATTGATCATAAGGTAGATAGGGCTTTAAAACAAAACCTAGACTCCTAGGCTCCAACCATTTAAAAAAATAACAAATTGTTATACATATATAACAATTATATATATAATTGTTATATATGTATAACATATATACATATATATATAACAATTATATATAACATATGTGTAATATATATACACATATATATGTGCTAGATATACATATATAACACATACATACATGTATATATTTGAATATAAATATGTAAGGTATATAAAGACATGAATAACTGTATATCTTCCCATTTCCTCATTTCCCTAGCATTCTGTAGAACCTAGTGTTCTGTAACTTGTATCTGTTAACAATATATCTAGAGTTATTTCCATATTAGTACATAAAGAGTTTCTTAATTCCTTTTACTGCTGCATAGTATTCTATCACCTGAATGTGAAATAATTTATTTAATAGATCCCCTATTATTTATTGGCCATTGTCAGTCTTTCAGTATCACAAATAATGCTGCAATGAATAACCTTGTACAAATGTTAATTTGTATGGACTAAAATAATTTCTCAGAAGTAAAATAGCTGGGTCAAAACATAAATGCGGGCTTCCCTGGTGGCGCAGTGGTTGAGAGTCCGCCTGCCGATGCAGGGGACACGGGTGCGTGCCCCGGTCCGGGAAGATCCCACATGCCGTGGAGCAGCTGGGCCCGTGAGCCGTGGTCGCTGGGCCTGTGCGTCCGGGGCCTGTGCTCCGCAACGGGAGAGGCCACAACAGTGAGAGGCCCGCGTACCGCAAAAAAACAAAACAAAACAAAAAACATAAATGCACGTGTATTTTAATAGATTTGCCAAATTGCCTTCGGCAGGAGCTGTATAAATTTGAACTTGGATTTTTGCCAATCTGATAGTTGAAAATGGTATTTTAGTATAGTTTAAATTCTTAATGATTTAATTGAATTATGTTGGGCATCTCTTCATATATTTAAGGATCACATGTATTTATTTTCTGTGAACTGTCTGTTCATAAGCTTTGCTCCTTTTTTTATAAAAAAGGATTGTTAGCCCAAATTTCTATTTTTAGAAATCTTACAGATCATTCTTGATAGCAGTAGATTTAGGAACCAGAGTTTTGAGCCACAGAGTAAATCTAAATAAATTTTAAAAATCAGACACTTTGCTGGATATATTTGCTTACAATTTGACAGTAAAACTACAAATTAAAAACAGTAATGTTTAAAAAACTCACTTAACCACTTAGAAGTAGGCTATGTCAACACTTTCCTAAATAACTGTTGGGCCAAAGAGGACATCAAAGCTGAAGTTATAAAATATTTATAAAATAATGACATTTAAAATATTACATCTAAAAGCTTATGGGTTGTGTCCAAAGCTATACTTAGAAGAAAATTAATTGCCTTAAAAAGTTCCTTATTCAAAAAGAAAGAATCATATTTGTAAGTTGTTGTTAGTAACCTGTCTGTGCCTCAGTTTGTTTATCTGTGGAACCCTGATGGTAGTATCCACCTTAAAATTACTGAATGCATATTATGTGTCAGAACCTGATACATTGTAGCTACTCAAGAATGGTAGCTGCTATTATTATCAATATTATTACTTAAAGTAAGAGGAAGGAATGAACAGAGATTAAAGTTGAAACAAATAAATTAGAAATAAAAAACCTCACGAGATTTGATAAGTAAATCTAAACTACAGATTTATTTATAGCCTAGAAAAAGATAAACTTCTGTTGAGGGAACAAAATAACAACAAAATAGGTAACTATTCAGCTAGTCAAATACAGATAAAAAGAGAAAATAGGGCTTCCCTGGTGGCGCAGTGGTTGAGAGTCCGCCTGCCGATGCAGGGGACACGGGTCCGTGCCCCGGTCCGGGAGGATCCCACATGCCGCGGAGCGGCTGGGCCCGTGGGCCGTGGCCTCTGGGCCTGCGCGTCCGGAGCCTGTGCTCTGCAGCGGGAGAGGCCACAACAGTGAGAGGCCCGCGTACAGCAAAAAAAAAAAAAAAAGAGAAAATAAAAATACACGAAATTAGGCATTAAGAAGGCATATAACCACAGATGTAAAGAAGATCAAACAATTTAACAATAGACGTTAATAGATATTATGTTCAACCAATGCTATTATATTGAAAATTTTATTTGAAGCAGATGCCTTTCTGGGAAAGTATGCATTACTGAATTTAACACGAGGTGAAAAACCTGACCGGCTCAATAATAATAATGGAATAAATTGAAAAAGTTCTCAAAGAATGATCTCTCCAAAAGTTTCTAGATCTAAAAAAAACAAAAACTTTCTAGATCTAGATGGTTTGTAGGTAGTTATTTGAAACTTGTAAGGAACAGATTTCCTTAGAACTTCAAAGATAAATAGGAAATTTTAAAGATACTTAAGGGTAAAGACAGATTATTTGTGAATGGCAGCTAGGCTGAGAGCAGACTTCATATCAGCCATGGGACAATGGGACAATATCTTTCAAGTGGTGGTAGACAGCTGTTTCAGATGTTTTAAAAAATGAAAGGAATATATCAGTTACAGACTCTCCCTGAAAGAATTACTAAAGGATGTACTTCAGCTAGAAGAAAAGAGAAACCAAAAGGAAAGATGCAACTAAAAAGTGAGAAGAAATAGGTAACCTATGTTGATAAGTTTAATTACTGACTGGAGAAAGGAAGTTTTTTTTTTTTTTTTAAAAAAGGATTCTTGAATTAAATTTATAAACAAATGTAGGAAGGACAGTGGGAGGGAAGAGTTCAGTAGCTATTGTGTCCCCTCCTTCCTCAGGAGAGAGATAGCAAGTAAGTTTAGAGTTTGTTGGAAAAGTATAAATATGTGTATTAGAAGTTACAGAAACTTCTGTAAAGTTTCTGTAAAAAGAAAACACAGGGTTATTAAAAACACAAAATGATAAAAAGTAATTCTAAATACATTAGTAATCACAAGTATAAATTAGCCTATGAAAATATCAGGCTATCAGATTGAACTAAAAATGCAGCTATACCCTACTTAATAAGAGACATGTCTAAAGAAAAACGACATGGAAAGATTTAAAATAAAGAAATAAGAAGAGATATGCTGGAGAAATACTAACCAAGAAAGCTGGTGAGCAATAGACAAAATAGAGTTTTAGGGAAAAAGTGTTAGTAGGGATAAAAGGAACACTCCTTTGTAACTTGGGAATCCTTCCCTACTCCTGATTTTCTTGCTCTGTGAAGGGAACACTTCTGTGTGGCACCCCTGGCTCTCTTCACCCGCTTGATACAAAGCTAAATTTGGGAGTAAGAACTTGATGTGTACAGCTGTGTTCTTTT